AGAGAATTTTAAATTTTCCAAGCCATCTTTCCTCACAATCTATCTAGAAATCTAATGTGATTTTAAGCGTACGTGTCCTTCCAGCTTCCATTTTTTTAAAACTTCCTTATTGCTCACATGTTCAGTCCATGTTCTTCTCTGTCAAGTAACGGCAGTGAAATGTCTTTTTTTATGTATCGTGTACCTTGACGACGTGAAGAATCACAGACCGAAAACGACAGGACCTTCTAGGCAAGGTAACAAAATGAAAGCAAAAAAGAAAAGTTTATTCATCAATTGTAAGAAGACAGAACACATAGTTGTCTGCAAGAATCCATTGCTAGGTCAGCTGCTAAGAAAGTTGGTTCACTGTGTCGTGCGAGACAATTTTTCCCTCCAGAATCTATCTTACATATCTATAAGGCTACTAATCGTCCATGTTTAGAATATTGCTGCCGCATATGGCCCGGTGCTATTGATATTTACTTTGGTTCCTTGATAAAATCTGTTCTGTCTTTAGACCTAATTTGTTCCTAACTTTTATTAACGACGTTCCTGATACCACTAATTCTAAAATCGGTATGTTTATGACAAGTATTTAGTACTGTCTTACTGTTAAGTCTGATCGTTTCGACAAGGTCAAATTGGCAGCTGATCTTAACAATGACCAACAATCTATTGCTGAATGAGGCTAGAAATGTTTTGTTCATTTTAACGTTTCAAAAACGAAACTGCTTTTCTTAGAGAACTTTTTTTTACCTTCCATCAGCGTGGGTGATGCTAATCTCCAGAAAGTGGCTCATTGTGCCTTATCATGTTAATATGTTTTTCACGTATGAAGTGAAACGATCATATTGAAACACGTGTTAGGTCTATTGGTAGCAAATTAGGTTCACTCTCAATTAACTTTACATATTTATAAGTCTACTATTCATCCATGCATTGACTATTATCGGTCACATCTAATCTGGCGCTTCTGCTATGTAAATAGAGATTATTGGTCAAATCCGCAAAAGAATCTGAAGAATCTTTGCGAAAACGATTACCTGGATTTGCGCCAGGTAGAATTTAACACTATCAGTGGCTCTCTAGATAACTTATATCTTACTACGGGGGTGAAAGAAAATTTAAGGTGTGACCAGAGACTGACCTTAGAATATGCAGCAGGAATTTCACTAATTTTGCTGCCCGGAAAACTGCAAGATGGTTAAATTTAGCCATAAGGTTAGTCCGTTTATTAACCAGAGGTGCCTATCCACCAGAACTCTATGATAAATTGCACAGGCCTATAAAATTTATTTAATATCATAATTTATGAAATACATACAGTTAATTGGTTTGAGATTAAAAGAGATACTAAATTCCATAACGAAGAATTATGATATATATATATATATATATATATATATATATATATATATATATATATATATATATATATATATATATTCAATATGATCAAGAGAATAAATTAACAGTCAACTGAAATAAAGAATGTTGTATTAAAAATTTACAGCACTTTTTTTTTCAGAAGTAGCTATCCAACAGTGAAAAGATTTTTTTTTTAATACATTGAACTCTGGAGCGACACACTGGTTAAATTTGATTAACCTCCCATAAAATGAAAGTTGTGAACCTTCACTGGCAAAAGTTTTTTTTTTTTTTTCAAATAATGAACTACAAGGGGTTCTAAAGAACAGAACAACATTAGATTTGCCAAAGTTATCTGCACATTCGCAAGGTGTGGAACGAGTAGTTAACTACTGAAATTGTACATAGACACAAAGCAAGGCACAAGTAAATGAGTACTAAATCATTGTGTCATCAATGAGACCTCCATTTATTTCAAAGGGAAATTATACTGAATATTTAGCTATATTATGATGTTTTATGTTATACAATGCTGTAGTTTTAGTGGAATTTTCAATGAACAATGTAAATTTAATACATTTTATCTTCTAATTTGTGCCCAGGAGTCTTATGATATTGTATACACCTTTATCTATTTTTGTTTTCATAAATTATGACCTAACAAATATTGTAAGAACTTATTCAAAGATTACACTTTTATAATCTTATACAATTTTTAGTTTTTATTTTCACAATTTATACAGATTTTGTAATCTTATACAATTTTTTACAGTTTTCACAGTGAAAACTTGCATATTTTGCTTATAGTGTAGGTAGCTCCCAAAAATTCGATATATTTAAGGTTTAAATGTATTTTTCATAAAGGAAAAATTCTTTTCGAAGCTTTCCAACCGCTTAAATTGAAAGCTAAAGGAATGAGTTTTCTAATTCCAGAAAAAAAAGTACTGTGGAGTATTTCAAATAGAAATTTGAGTGATTTTTAGTCGATGCTTCCGAAAAATCAATCGAAACGGCCATTTTTAACTTATTTTAGAGAAATACAAACATTTTTCGGTTTTGAAAATCCTGCTAAAATAAGATATACATTTCTGAAACGTTACTTTCGTAAAATTAGCAAATTTAAAGTTAAATCAATCTGTTCTGAAACAAATATCACTTACTTATAGCATAACATTTTCGCGACAAACATTTCTTGACCTCGGGGTTTTGTTATTTTCACGTCTCCATCGATGATTTTATGGCTGAATGTGTTTAGTACGGTGCATCAAAAGTGACATAACGGTTTTTTTTTTGTTTCTTATAATAATTTAAAATACTATACAAATTTCTTACATTATTGAGTTACCTCTATCTCTTTCATTATTTAATAACTAAGATAATGATAAATAATTTTATTAATTATTAATATTACATTAAGTTATTACAGTTTTAATTTAATAACTGAGATAATAACTAATAAACTTATTATTATATTAATAATTAAAATATCTCACTGAGTCAATTTAACTTTTAATTTAATAGTTGAGTGTGAGATAAGACCTTTACATGTCAAGGGGCTTTCCCCAAGGAGTAGGCAAGCTTTGAATCACGTGACCTTTTAACCATAATGTAACTAAATAGATATACTAAAAATATATATAACATTTTGACGCACAAAAAATATTTTTAATTACGGTAAAAAGTTTGGTAGAATTATTTGTATTAAGCTTTTAATTTTCGCTTAGTAAATATAGTCCTCACTTAAAAACTTAATAACCGACCCCACACTCTGAATGAATGAATTTTAAAATAATTTTTTCAAATTAAAGAAAAATGAAAAAACTAAAAGAAAAATGCAAACAATTCTTGTAAAAATTCTTTATTCATCGAAATATTTTTTATTCGGATAACAATGTCTTTAATGTATATTATTTATAAAAGCAAATGAAAGTCTATCTAATTTGATAATTAGATAGTTTATTGCAGTTTTTATTTTACGATTTAGAGCAGATTTTTAAAAAGTTGGCAGTAGTTTTGGAAAAAAATTGATGATTTAATTTCCCCAAGGAATCCTTCTTATAAGTAATATAAAACAATTTCCGTCCGCTTGGAAATTCTAGAAATTTTCATAAAATTAATAGGGGGTGGTAACAGATGTAAAAAAATGTTTTTACCAAGATTTTCTAAAAATAAAAATTTCAAAAATAAATTCATTCATTTTTTAATAAGTCCTGAAAGTTTTATTAAAATTAGACAATTATTTGTTTTTTGCAAGAATTTTCAAATTAATGGATTTTCAACCTGAAACTACAAAACTGAATATTTAGCAATAACTGGAAGTACCTACTTATAGTGATTCATAATTAGAATTCTGGTTTGAATATATTTCCCCTTCAATTTATCTAATACAAAAAAAATATCAACTTTATTTGGATTTATTGTAACATTTTGAAGTCAGTCTGTGGAATTGGGTATTTTTGTACTCATTTTCAGACGAGATTGTTGAAAGCTATGAATCGAATTTTTGCTGTCCTTACTCATCACATCCAACCACATCTTTTACACCGAGTGCAATGACGTTGTTTTGAAAAAGTTATAAATAAATCTGCTCTACTCTGCATTTACCTAAATAAATAGAGAGCGAAATAAAGTTCATTATATTGACTTTACAGGATTTTATATTTTGTCTTTTTGGTTGCGGTGCTGCTTTCTCATGTAAATATTCCAAATTATATCCCCATCTCTTACATAAGTAATATATATATATATATATATATATATATATATATATATATATATATATATATATATATATATATATATAGAGAGAGAGAGAGAGAGAGATAGATAGATAGATAGATAGATAGATAGATAGATAGATAGATAGATAGATATTGATAATATTGAAATAATCATCAAACCTACAAATTCAAAAAGAAATCGGAAAATATAACTCCGGGTATAAAAAAAAAAATTTAGTGAGAGTGTATGTGTGGAAGTGGGGAACAAGTGTGAGAGGAAAATGTATGAAAACTCTAGAGAGAAGTGTGACAGAAGTCAAATTTGTTTATTTAAATTTGTAGGTCTGATGAATTGGATCGTGATTACGTTTCCAAAGTAATAAATTATAATCATGGAATATTAGTGTTTGAGCCTTAATTTTACTTTTATTAATTCAAATGTTACTTTTAATTGATAACCATAGTTGAGTATTGGGTAGACGCACCGTTTTGTAAAACTGTATTTCATTCGTCTAACGGCCTGCGCATTCAAAAAAACCTTCAATAAAGAAAATGTGACCTCCGGCAGGATTCGCACCTGCGCCTCTCTTTGCACGGATGTGTATCCACTAAAATAAGTTTTGAAATAATAAAAATAATAATAATAATGCATGCATCCATCCATCCATATATATATATATATATATATATATATATATATATATATATATATATATATATATATATTACCATATAAGAGATGGGGACGCACAACTCTCCCCTTGAGAAAGGTCCTAATCTGACAAAAGGTGTTTGATACTGAGACAAAAATAAAGAATGCATAAAACCTTTCAATCGATTTTTCTGTCGAATTTTTAAAATTCAAGGGTCTTTTCTGGGGTGACAAATTGAATTGAAGTGTTTGTCCATTAAGTGTTAATGTACGAGGTG